ATCTTTAGAATTTCCGATTCAGTCTCGCGCGCTGGAGGTAATTTTTTTTTTTTTTTTTTTAAATCCCTTACAATGTTGTCATTTCTCGCTTTGAAATTGTTGAGTTTGTTAATCAAAAATTCTTTAATGTCTGACAAAATATGAAATAAATAGTAAACCAAACTCCAAATTAGGGCTTCCAGAAAAGTGAATCAACACAGAAAGTGAATGGACGCAAAATGCCAAAACGAAATTAATATCCTTTCTGGGCTAATGCCCTTTGGGCTACACAAAATGATTTTTTTTTTTTTTATTTATCCAAGTTATTTACATTTGCAGAATAAAAGAAAAATCTGAAAAGTTTCAGATTTTAAATTACGTCCGAAGGGACTTTTTCTAACATTTTGTGTGTTACCTTTATTTCTTAAATATCACGTTCTTTGCACTTAAACCATAAAATTCAGTTCAAGAGCAATATCGCAAAGTAGTTTTAAATTGAGCATATCTTTAGAATTTCCGATACACAGTTCCGCGCGCTGGAGATAAAAAGGTTTTTTCTGTACAACATTGCCATTACTCGCCTTTAAATCGTTTAGTTTGCTACTCAAAAATTCGTTAAAGTTTTACAAAATATCAAATCGATCACGAAACAAATTCCAAATTTCAAATTTGGGCTTCCACATACCCATATCCGCAGTAGGATTACGTCATTCAAAATTCGATGGCTGTATGTACCAATGTTTTATCACAATGCGAGAAATATACATACATTTATGCAGATTTTTCATCATTTAATTTTTTCAAATATAATGCAGGACTCTAACATTGGGTGGCAACAGTTTGAAAATTGAAACGGACATTTATAGTGAACCAACGCAAAATCGCAAAACGAAAACAATAGCCTCCAAGGACAAAGCCCCTTTTGAACTAAAAAGAATATTAGTGAAAAGACTTAGACATTATTCTTTAAATTGTTAAGCATTATTCGTTAGATTAACCTTTGAGAGAATTTAGGGAATAACGTAAGAGTTTCACTTATCATACAGTGTTAAAAAATCTTTACTATCCTTTTTTTTTTTTGTTTTTAGTTTTTTGTTTTGTTTCTAAAAATTGTTGCAACAAACTGTAGTTTTATTCTTGAAACGTAATTCTAACTTGAAACAGGAATGAAAGCTTGAAAAAAATCTTCAAATGAAATGACAGATACTTTCTCACGATTCGGAAAATCAAAGATATATATATCGTCTGCATCTTTCCTTTTGGATACAGGGCCAAGTCAAAATTGCTTGAATGCGGCGGGGGGGGGGCTCTTAAAACCCTGCAGTAGGTTGTCCCTGCCTTTTCTTCTTTCCCATTCTGTCTTTTTCATTGTGACTGAGGGTAATAAAATTTCCCGCGCTGCTGGAGAAGTTGTCCCTTCATCTAAATTAGGTTGCAATAATTGTAACGTTTTGGTCCCTTTTTTTTTTCCTTTTGAAGGATTTTCTAAGCTTTCACATTAAAGAAAAATTCTGATATTTTGTATTTCCTATCTGTTGTCTAAAAGTGTGTAATACAGAAGATGTAAATCCTTAGTTCAATTTCAATCAAATTTAATCATATTAAAATTATTATTTTCTTAAATCACTGAATAATAATTTACGATAAAATATCAATCATTCGTATAATGGCATATTTTAAAATTTTTACGTCGTTCGTTTTAGAGTTTCGGATGACCTCTTGTTGTCCATCCATTAAAAGTATTATCCACTGAACGATGAGTGCGCATTCAAAACATAAAAATTTTCAAAAGTAGATGAATAAAGATTTTAATTAATTTTGGAAATATTTTAGAGTAAAGGTTTGGAATTCTTATGATTTTATATTCTAAAAGGTATAGTCTACACTAAAAATGGATAAAAAATATTTGAGCTATCTTATTCCAAAAGCGTTAAATTTCTAAAAGCATTTCAAAACATTTTGATTGGTGCTATGATAAAATAATACGAAATACCAAAAGCAGATTTTGGTTTTTAAAATAAATTACTATCATGAAACTACATTTATAATATTCTGTTGCATTCTGATGACCATACTTTAGATACTCCTTTCAGTTTTTAAATTAAATGTTGAATCGAATTGCAGATATAAATTTATGCACAATGAGAATGAAATTTACGTATGGTGGAAATAATCATACAATACTTGCCACCAAGAATAATTCTCAGTAACTGAACAGTACTTCAGGTTCTGCATATAAAACTGTACAATGTTAATTATATTATAAAATGTTCAGGAAACATCAAGAATTTCACCTTATTTGTAATCATTCTCATTAAATAACCATTAATTAACACAAGCAGTATTTTGAATTTGGATTAACTAAGTCTCAAGTTGTAAGTCGCAAGAATAAATTTAAAAAAAAAGTAAATTATTGTAATTTCCAAAACTGGTATAACTGTGTATAGATTTCCAAATGATAAAGTTTTCTTATTTTTTAAAGATCTAAAATTTCACAAATTTCATTTGTAAAATTTAAAACGGAATTTTTTAAAATTTGCTTCAGATTTTTGAAAAGAGAAGGTGTAGAAGAGTTTTAAGTTTAATCTCGATTTAATTATCTGTATTTTGGTTATGAGCGATTGTCTAGAAGATTATTTGAAGCAAAACTAAAAAACTGTGTATGTCTTATTATAAATTTTAATTGTTTATACATTTATATACTTAAAAACAGAATTTGTTCATAATACAGCTAAAGCTTCGTATCTGAGACACACTGTGTATACTTAATAGATTTTTCTAGTATAGTTCACGATGATCTGTTTTCTCTTTGAAGAAATGAATAAGTGCACTCCTTGTACGAATATTGTTTTGGATCAATTAGAAATTTTACTACTGTTATATAATTATTATTATGGAAACAGATCAGCATATGATGCTGAAACTTTGTTCAGAAAATTTATTAAGGATATTTAGACAGTAAAGCTCAACAAATTACGCAATGAGTATTTGTTTTAGAGTGGATATTTTCATTGAAAATTATTTTAATTGGAATAAGGCTGGGAAACCATTTACAGTCCAAAATTCAGAAAAAGTGGGCGATCAGTCCATTTGGTTGAAAGCAGAATTCTGAATTAGTATTTAGTGATTTTATATAAACATTAAAAAAAAATGTAAACATGATAATCTGGGAAAGAATAAGAAAGGTCAACAATAACTTTACAATTTTACGAAAGTATAAATTAAGAATCTCAATATTTCAATATTGCACAATTTGGATGGCGACAAGAACGAGAAATACAGTTTAAGAATACTCAAGCGGCAAACTTTCAGATTTGTGGGTTTGTTACACTATGCAAAATGTGCTATTCTATGTAAAATATTTAATGAATTATTCATAAAATGTAATTTTAAGAAATCGATAACAAGATGAAACTTTGAAAAATCATATAAAACTCAGAGAAATAAAAGTAAATAATTTTCCAAATAAAAAACTAAAAGCGCAAAGCAATATCAATTTCAAACACATATTCATAAAATATGTACACTGTTTAAAATCTGCTTAGTTACGCAGCGAACACGGCGATAACCACTAAAATCTGGTATACATTCAATTATCTTTCTTGCCATAAAGAGAGCCTGCTGGACAAAAGGTATGGACACGTCAATACGCCACGCTGAACGACGGTCATTTGAGTGAGGGGAAAGCAACTAAAGACAGCGAAACGTCTGCCGCCTTTAGCGTTAATTTGGATACAGAATGGGCAGAAGAAATAGTAGAATCTGGTTTCTTTTCAAAACTTGAGATGAAGAGTTTTTAGTTGAGGGTCTCGGCCACTAGGAAGGTTAAACACTAGTCAGTAATAGCTGACCTCTTCGATCATTTAGCCATCTTATCACCTAAAATATTACAAAGGATGCAATACAAGGGGTTGGCCAACATTATTCCTGCAATAAGGAGGCTAAGTAACTGCAAACATCTTGGCTTTCTTGTGGGTTCAAACACAGGCAAAATGATGTGTCAGCCTCACTGACAATCAGTAAGTTAAAATTCCTCCCTCCCAAATAGACTCCATATTTTTTTATTCAACTGAAGTTATTAGGGAAAAAAAAAATAGAAGTTTATAATTTATTAAACATCTCATATGATGTTTAATAAATCATACTAATAAAGTAGCTTAACCACCAGAATTCCAAATTTGCAGTTCTGACAGCATTCTGAAAAATCTCCATTATATGTTACGAATGTTAGGGTAAGGTTTTTTAGTAAGTCAGCTTTTCTTTTTTTGAAAAATTCACAAGTTTAGAATACATTTTTTTAATTGACAAAAAATGATTACGTACTGTTGATTTTTCATGGGTAACAACAAATTTTGCCCAACATAAATAAATCACATTAACTGATTAAATACTTGCATATAGAGGGAAATAGAATCATTTCATTCATATATGCTAAATGATAAAGGCATCCACTTAGGTCAGTATAAATAAGTGTAAGTCGCTACCTTGATTAACATTCCAATATAAAATAATGCAAATAACTTCATATGACAAAAATGCTGAGATTTCGAATGTAAATTTTTCTGTAGTTAATTACATCTATTCAACAGTTCATGTTGCCTTATTATATAAAACCTAAAAAATACAGGGGAAAAAAATGTGGAATTAATTTGAAAGAATAAAATAACCCCCCCCCCTTTGGTTTTGAATGTTTAGATTTTTAAAGATGATTTCCATATAAAAATACTAGTTTTATACTGAAAAATTCACAACAAACGCACTTTGCAACAACGTGCATAAAAACATAAACATAAATAAATGAGCATAAAATCTTGTCTTGAACATTTATATGAAACCTGAATCTTTGTTTATGCTGATGATCTGAAACTGAAATTGCATGTGGGTAAAAACAATTGATGAACAGAAAATTTCCCTAAACAAAATAAATTTTCTAACTAAATATAACATACTTAAAATTGAAAATAAACATATTATGAAAATTTTACAAAGTAAAACAAAATTTTTGAATAAATAATGACAACTTATTTTGTTAACTTTATTCATTAATTTTTCTTTGAAAAATACAGAAAAAATACATTTGCATGTTAAATAATTACAAACTTTGGTACTTATGTATTATCCCCTTGAGCCCTCAAACTGTCACAAAGCAGTCAATTTTAGACAAACATGAATTAACAACATACTCGTAAAATGTTCCTTTTCATCTGATGTCAGCCCACTTGATTCTTGATATGCACCTTTTTGTCTTTATGAACAAGGATTTAAATTAACTATTACTGCTTAACTTTCCCCTTTGTACTTTTGGGGAAAAAAATTTTGGAATCTGCCTTCTACAGAACAGCAAGCAATGGATTATTTTCAAAATTACAGGATTCTACCAAAAAAGCATATTAATGAACATAATATGGCCAGCTGAATATAGTCGACAAAACAATAATAGACCGTAAGTTTCCTGCAAGAAGTTTGTACTCAAAGTACTCTAAACAGAGCTTGTGGCAAAATCGGATGATGTAACAATATAGAAATTCATGAAAACCTTCTTATGAAGAACAAAAACGAAGCTTGTTGATTACGGATTTTTAGTAAATTAAGAAAGGGTCCTTCAGAATTCTGCAAGAACCAATGATGCAACTTTGATAAGATCTTTACCAACTTTTACAGTTTACGGGTAATAAGTAGGTACAAAACTTCTTCATTTCTTACTACACTTCATGCCATTTAAATTTTGATAAAGTTTTAAATCTTGGAGAAAAATTAATAGAAAATATGAGATGCTCATCGGCCAATTGGGTTTTTTTCACTAATTTTCACCTAAGAATAAAAGTTTTCACACACCAATGTACTCACAAACAAAGGGATTATTCTTATTGCAAATAATCGTAACTGAGGAAATTTTTCTTTTGGATAAGCATGAATAAAAGTTAATCAAATCTTTGAATACGTTTTATATCACAGCGTTAATTAACACCATTTATAGATTTCTGAGTCATTACTCATGTTCGCTTTGAGTAAAGAAAATAATGTAAAATTGGACTCCACATCATGAAAATCTAAGATGTTTTCTTTGGATTCTTGTTATAATAATCAATAGCATAATAACACAACTTAATTAAGAGAAATGTATTCGTGGACGACGTAAAGTTGCTTTGTGGGCCAACAGTTCGAGGACACTAGTTTAAGCCACAAAAGGTGAATTCTAGAAAATTAATTTGTTGCAAGAAATTTATCTTAATATAAATTATATGTTTGCATTTGAATTGTTAATTTTTAATTTTACATATGAAAATATTTATATTCATCAACTTAAGTTTTCAGTTCCATACTTATACACACAATGGTGGTTAGTGGGAACTTTTTTTAATAGATTTATTTCACTATCAAGAAATCACATGTCAAATCACAATTTGTGAATGTTTTTGATTCTAACATAACACACATTCTTTAAATGCATGAATTAAATTGTTCCGTGCACTATTAAAACATCTTATGTAGTCAGATGTTATGCTTTAATGCTAATGATTATTTAAGAAAACATTTTAAGGAAAGTTCCATATACGACCTTAGAAGATGTAAGCAAAATTTATTATTAATCTGATACTAGTTTGTACACAGAAAACAATATACATATATAAAAGGGTCTTATACGTAATTTTAATTTGGGTACCTCAAATTTATTTTGCTGAATGCATAATGAGGTTTTTCAGGAAGCCGAGTTCTATTTATTGGCAATTTCAAATCTAAAACTTTAACTTCTTTGCTCCCAGCATATCATATACGATACACTTGAGTTTCCCCCAGTGGGTCCACCATAACAAATGTGATACAGGAGGGAAGTGTCATTACTGGACCACTGTATCATATTTAATACATTGAAATGGAACATTTTATTTGGCATTTTAAAATGCAAATGAATCATGTCAGAATGCCATAAAATTTAGTTGAATGGAATGTCCTATTAACCTTTTAGTTATGAGTATTATTTACTACTGTTCCTGTGAAAGTAAAGCATGTATTGTTTACAATGCACATTCAGAGTTTAGAAAGGTTTCCCGCAGTATAAACAGCTTAAAATTTTGTACAAATATGACAACAGGCTATAATAGTTAGTCTTAACTGCTCTCTCTTTCTTTTTTTTTTGCTATTTGTTTTTTAGTAATTATTTTCATATTATAATGGAGCAAAACAGTTCAGATTTTAAATATATAATAATTATTAGTAATGTTGCAATTAAAATTTATTTTTTAATTTAAATTTAAAATATAATTTTATTTCATTAAAAAAATTAATGCATCAAAGAATCCAAACATTTCAATAAAAATCAGATTTTAGAGGAATTATTTTTCATGTTAGGCTTAATTGTGAAACTTGATTGGACACACTGTGATTTTCAGTGCTCCAAGTTTACAAACCCATAGGAAACTTCATGTTCCCTGCATTGAGAGCAAAAAAGTTAAGGAATAAAAATTCACAAAATTCTCATTTGCAAGAAATCTTGATAATTATATAATTAAAAAAAATTTCATATTCAAAGATTAGAATTCAAATATAAAGCAAAATCAAATGCTATTATTAACATAGAATTAAATTCTTTCTGATTGCACAAGAGACTAATTAGTTCTATTATTACTTTTAATTTGTCCTTTACATCTTTTCATAATCAAATGAAATGAAAAGTATCAAATTACTAAATTCAGAAAATTTAATACAACATTACAGTTAAACTAATTAAACTACTTGCAGAGCATTAGCATAATTAAAATCTAGTAATTAATAAACCAAAGAAAAACTTATCATTAATATGAACTCTTCAGCTGAGTGACAATAACAGCTATTTAAAATGGTGAATGAAGCACAAATTTGTATTTAAGAAAACAAGTCAATAAAAATTAGTTATAGTAACATTTAATTTAAAGGCACTGGAACTTTTAGTAGTACCACAGAAAAATTTGAAAATAAAATTTCAAACTTAGCTATTTAAGAATTAAGTTGATTAATGAATTTATGTTAATACTAATAGCATTTGGAAAAAAAAAAAAAAAAAAAAAAAAAAAACTTAAAAAGTATGCCAATTTTCAGAACCTGGTGTCTATTACTTATTTTCTATGACAACAAATCAGATTAGCATATTATAATGCATTAATAAAATAAAAATATTAGATGATGGACTTTCAAAAATTGCATTCTTTTTTATATACAAAATACATCTGTATGGTTAAAAATATAGGCTTAAAAAGTTGTTGAATAAAACAGAGGGAAAAAATGCTTGCATATGTAATTCTGTGAACAAATTAGTCTTAAAATATTACAGGGGAATAAATGTATACTACAGAACTATTTCTGGTTCTGTCATGCAATTTCCTTAAAATTTACAAAAATGCACATCATGAAATAACAAAAATTATACTGTTACATAGATAGTCATTACGATAAGTTAATACTGATCACACAAAATAAGGTGAATAATGGCATTAGAGTCATTTAAATTAGAAAAGAAGTTAAGTGAAAAAACATTTACAATCTAAAGGGGGGGGGAAATAAGTACCGAAATAATATCAAGAGCTATAATATTATTCTTTTGAAGAACAAAATCAGGGCAGAATTCTTTCCAAAAATACTTTCACTTCATTCATTTCCTATTAAAAAGAAAATCATTATGAGATAAAGTTCAAAATAAAATTACATATAAAAAGTAACATAAAAACAAAACTCTAAATATAAACTTTAAAAATAAAATTATTATGTATATATGCAGTAGTCATAAACTAATCTCAACTAATGATGATTTGAGAGGGCAGTGCATGAAGAATTAATTACATCTTTTGCTTTCAAGATACACTTGAGATTTCATGATGATTTAGACAGAGCATGCATTATGGTCCTGCAAAAATTTTTTCATTTGTAAAAATTTTGAATATACAGTACAAAGTCCGAAATCCGGACTCTTCGGGACTTCGGCAATTCCGGATATTAGATCATCAGTTTAAATCTAGCAAGATGGCATGTAGAAATTATAAAATAAAAAATATGAAATCGTGATTTATGAAATAATGAAGTATTTATGATCTAAAAGGTATCAAAATTTAAAAAAAAAAAAAAAAAAAAAAAAAAAAAAAAAAACCGCAGCTTAATATATTTTTGTTTATCCTATTAAACATTTCTTTCAATGCAAGTTGCTTCATTTTTTATGCTAATACTGTCTCTAATTCTGTAAATACACATAATCTCTTGTTTAGTTACATTGTTTAAGTCCTGTAACTGTTGTGTCAACAATTCCAAATAACTTGTCAACTGAAATGTTGTTTTGAGTAACTTCTCTGTCACTTTCTTCACTATCGGTAGCAGTATTTTCTGGATCTAGAACCATACTACAGATTTCCCCATTCATTAATTGATTAATGATTGAGAAGCATTGTCATCACAATGGAATACTTCTTTTATATCATCTTCATTTATTACTGTTTCTCCACATTTCTTTACAAAATCTGTTTATTGGAAAATTTCAGCTTTGTTTTGCGATATCCAAAAACCTTTAAAATTTGTGGCTATCATCAACAAATTCAGCTATCTTTCACTATACATATTTGGCTAAGTATCATTAGCTTGGCGACTAATGACAAGTTGTTCCGTTAAATTTTATCTTGCTTCTATCGCGTACTGAGACAATTAAACCTGAATTGTACTAGTCTAGTTATTTATTATACTTATGTCTATTTCTTGCACAAGCTCAAGGCTTATCAGAGTTCTGCATAAATAAATTTCCACATATACTTAGGACATTTTGAGGGCCGGTGCTAGATATCTTACCGCCTGATGCAGTCTTTGTAGGTCCTAAATTTTGTGACACAGTACAGTCATATGAGCCCTGGCGCTGGTTCTGGGTTTATGTGAATAACAAATCAGTTATTCTTAATTCAAATAGCTCTAATGTAATCTTTGGGACTATGAGTATCATCAACAAAATCTATTTTAAGCATATGAAAAGAAATTTTTGTTAAAGTTTTCTTGTCAACATGTGCATTTAACTTAAATCTGTAATCATTGACAAGTATAATGTCAACATAAAAGATAACCATACTCCTTTATTATTCAATTACAAACATAAAAAAATTGTTTAGGCATCGCTACATGAGTTATTACTCAAGTTGTCATGTGTTGATAAACATGCTGTTGTGAAAGGAAAGTATAATAAATAATGATTCGCCAGGTTGGCATCAGATCATCGATGTATCTATGTGGAATGTTTCGGTTTGAGATGCGTGCCAAGCAGATATGCAGCAACGGAGCCAAATTACTGATCATATGAATTTATGTTAAAATTATTGTTTCTTCAATAGCAAGATATTTTATTTAGTGTCAAAGTGAAATTAAGAATTGAGACTCTCCAGATGTTTTTATTAAGCGTGGAGAGGGGGAAATTAAATGTGCACGTGTAAAGCGTACAAGAAAAACATTTTTGGTAGTTTTCAGGTCCGGATTTCAGACTTTGTACTGTATTAAACTTTCATGACGGCATATGGGTCTGCAAAACATACCACAACATAAGGCAGGGTGTTCAAACATTTTAAGCTTCTGGCCACACAGCCTTACAAAAATATGTAAAAAGCCCCAAGCAGAACTTAATGTTTATTTAACAAACAAAATGTAACTCACTGGGTAAAAATAAATTTGCTTTTTAATGCAAAATATATTTATCATGCCAGGATAACTGTAACTGCTATATTATAATTGTTATGCAAATGACTGTATGCTACACATCATGTACATACTAATAATCAGTCCAGTTGTTAACCCCTTAATCTACAATGACGGGCATAGCCCACGTTCGATGGTTGGGCCAAATCTAACTTTCATGGGCATAGCCCGCAAACGATTGTCGGACCAAACCTAACTTTCACGGGCATAGCCCGCGTACAGTAAAGGGGCCAGAAGTGAATATTACGTGGGATATTTGATACGCAATTACAGTCTGATGCAATAATTGTGTTAGATGCAAGTATTACAAAATGTTTATTTATACAAAACTCCAAAATACAAAATTAGTAATCTGTAACGGTATGATATATTTCAAAGTGTTCTGGTACATATAACGGAACTTTACATTTTTTACACTTGTGTTCTATGTGGATTTTCTCGTGCTTGATCTGCATTCTGATTCATTTCGGTTACAATATTGTTTCAAAATATGTCATCAAATATTAGATTAAATATATCAAATTCTCCTCTACTTCCTCCTAATTGAAATAAGGGTTTCTCTCTTATGGCAGGAGTCATCATATAGTCCCAGATTTTTGAACTATTTGTTATTTCTTTCCAAAGCCAGGACTCTAGTAGTTGATTGTCATCGGATGTATCATCAATAATTTTTGCCTATACTTTCTTTGAAAATTACATAATTCATCATGTTTACGATCGCCCGGATTAGTGTGTTACACAAGTCGTGCAAATGTCCCGAACGTTGCGCGAGCTTGTATACAATTTCAGCCCAACATCTTCAAATCTAAATCGTAGGTTAAGGGGTTAATGTACATCTGATTGTAACTTAAGTTACACTACCAATGCTCTTTGTGTCATTATAGCAAAGTCTGGTATTAATACATTTAAGAGCAACTTATGACATGGTATTAGGAGTAAACTGGTTGAAAATATATATTAATCTTGCCAGAAATAAATCGGACTAAAACTGAATCTACTGTAATGCAATTACATTTCCACTAATAAGGAAGTTTAGACTAGCAAGTTGTTAAAGTTAAGAGATCCATATCATCATGTGTGTTAGCAATGACAACTCGAGGAGCTTTGAAACAGTTAAAATTGCTACTGAACTATCTGATTTGGGTAATACTCCTGCACTGTTGGCAACACACTTGAAAATCTAACTCAAGTAACTTAACAGAATTACTTTCCAATCCTATGGCCCAATAGTTTCGAAGGAGTAAAAAACCAAGCCTGTTGACTAAAAGTTCTAAAATATTAATAATGATGGGAAAATATTGCAAAACCCGTTTACAAATTTCCTTTTCTACATGTACACACTTCAAGATACCTCACTTAGACCACATAATTATAACTTCCACCTCTATAAATGATAAAAGAACGTGCTTAACATTATGGGAACTGAGTAGATTGCAAGTTACTTAAAAGTAATAAGTTTTGCCTATTTCAAGGTTAATATTTCATATAGCACATTGCTAAAAATTAATGTACTTAAAATTATGTACAATTCATAAAACTTTATAGAACTTATTAGTTATCTCAGTCCACATTTTCTTCGCAATATTTTTTGGCAACAAAACATCAGTGACAATTTGGTAACCCTTATCCTAGCTATGTTTAGCAATAGCTTCTAGTTCAACCTGAATAAATTTTGTAATCTGTATTTTCTAGTCATCATTAATTAATCGCTAGCTGTTAAAATGAGAAAAAGAAGTGGTCAAAATTGAGGTACTGGAAGATCGGATGAAAAAATGAAAATGATTGCATCAACTGAAAAACTAGACACTCCACTCCCCTCCTCCATAAAAAAACAAATATTGCCAAGAAAACATGAGCTGGGATAACCAATAAATAACAACTTTTTTATAAATTTATCTGTTAAAACTCTTAATGCATAAAAAAATGGGAAAAAAAATAGCAAAACGCAATTACTTTATTATAAAAGTCACCTGATACAGTACAGCAGTTAACACGACCATTAACCTAAAATCAACAGTGTGAGTTAAGATGCTTGCATAAAGTTTGTCTGCACATGTGTTTCTTTATTTATTCAGAGCTGATTCTGTAACTCTGTTCCTCAAAACTGTTTTTACTGACTGTTCATTAATTAAAATACTAACATATCCACAAACATCAGAAGGCACATTAGAACTAAGCAATATAATCCTTTAAATCCTCTTCTTCAGTGATGCAATCAATTTTACCAGGAAGAAACTGACAAATTTCCTCATCAAAATTATTCAGTATATTGAAACCCTTAAGTGTTAACACTCAAAAGCTTTTTTCACAATTTTACAGTTTTCAAAAATTACTTCATGTTATGATACTTCACAAGGTAAAAACATTCAACACCTCTTTCACCAAAAAATCTTAAGCAAATGCTCTAGATTACAGATAGTTTTTTTTTTTTTTTTTTTTTTTTTTTTTGGTGGGAGGGAGGGGCAGGTATGAGAGTCCTTTCCAAGAAAACCATTTTTATTTACAATGGAAACTCACAATTGGTGGAAAAGCAAGAGGGAACACTGAAGTTTTTTTAATGTACATATTTCTAATTAATATTATTACATTTTATGTTTTTTTAGCAAATCCCCCTCCCCAAGGTCTACAAAATTTTAGAACTACTGAATCATTTTCCAATTTTTATGAATTTTTAATTTGGCATTTCGAAAAGTTACAATCATTTCATGAATCCCTCTGCACACTATTTTATAACAGAAACGTAGCATCTGTGTCAAAATATCAACCAATCTTTCATTCTTAAATCGCAATTTTTTCAAGTTAGTGTGAATGAAATTGCATTTTAAAATAAACTTAGTCTGTAAAAGTTAACTGTGAGATACATTTTACTGCAATTAAAATATTTTCTAATAAACACAATCATATATCAGTTGCATATTACCGTTTCACATGAAGTATGGCATAATCCATTAAAAGTCTTAAGCTCCACATTCGTCATGAATGTCTTTAGAAGTTCATGAGTCATTTTACCCCATTTATATGGTACAACAGTATCTAGTTCTCCATGACACTGCAAAACAGGAATATCTAGGTTTCCTACAGCTGCCTGCAATAGAAAAAAACAAAATTATCAAATGTACGTAAAAGAGATTTGAAAAATTCCAAGAATACCTTTTATAAGCAGCAATTTAATAAAAAATAACATTATAAAACAATTGGTGTAGAAAAAAATGTTGTAAAATTTTTCCAGTGTTCTTAAACTCTAATTGTAGCTTAATATGTAGCACCGAAGATATAAGAACAACTTTCTTGGGGGTATGTGAGAAGTTTTAAAGGGGACTGAAATATACTAAAGCTATCTGCCTATAAGGAAAGAAAGGCCTCCCTCGAGCATTTTCAAAAGAAAAATTACCTGCATTTATGTTTACATTTCAGAAACACTTCACAGAGCCAACCCATTCTAACAGAGGGAACAGAATCTACAGGAAGTACACACTTTGATACACTCATTCACTAGGTAGTAGCTTTCAAGGAAAAAAACTGGCACAATGACAAAAGGACAAAATTCACCGGGAAACTTTTAAGGTAGATGAGGGAAGTTTTTTACTTTATTTAACTCTGCCATCAAACTGCAATTCCTCCATCAAAGCACATTTACATCTTATTCAAGGTAGAACAAATTCCTTTATTACAGTACAAAGTCCGAAATTCGAAGAATCGTCACGACTTCCACGATTCTAGATTTTAGATCATCAGTTTAAATGTAACAAGAAGCAAGATGACATACATACATGCAAGATTGTAGCTTTGTTTATTATTTATATCAGACAGAAAAATGGTAAGGACAGGCATCAGAGCCAGTGTGGCCACATCACACAGCAACCATTATGAATGGCAAAATTTTTAAAATTTACGAGAAACATTAAGCAGCAAAATTTTTAGAATATAGGCAGGTACCAGGTAATAGAATTTAGAGCCTCCAAAGATGGCATGGAGTTGTAAATGCATAGCTATTGCCCTGCCACCCCAAACACTATAGGGCCAAAAAGTGTGATCCTAGCCAATATCAATATACAGTACAGTCTTTAATCCGGACGTCCATAATCCAGACCTCAAAGCTAAACTCAAAGACCTCAAAGCATAAACTTTCTGCGCACGCGTAAACGCATAACCTTTACGCATGCACATAGTACGTTTATGCATGCGCATTTAATGTATAACGGACGGTATACACTAGGCTAAAATTATCTAATTGTCTATTTTAGTTAATGTTGCAGATTGTGTTGTTTCTTAATCTTCTAATTGGATCCGGCTTATTATTTTTTGCAGACTGTTAGAGCAATTTTATAAAAAATAAGCTTGAACTTTTGATTATGTCAAAAAGTGTTTCTGATTCTGGAGCTGTCAAAGGATCACAAAGCGAAAGCATGTTTCGATATACTGCTTCCGATAGTGAAAAAAGTGACAGAGAGGTTATTGAAAATGAAAAAAATTTTATTGACAAGTTAGTCGGTATTCTCGACACACCAATTACAGGACTTGAACAGTGGAACTGAACAAAAAATTGTCCGTTTATAGAATTAAAGTGAAAGTATTAGCACAAAAACGAAGCAACTTAAACAACTTACATTGAAAGAAATGTTTAATAAAGTAAACAAATGTGCTGTTACTGGCTACAGTGTGATACCCTAACTAGCAGGCATTTGAAAGCGACATGCAAAAATCTCAGTTATTTGGGAGAAAAATCACAAATATGGTACACCTCTTTCGTTTTGTTGAGTAATATTATATTCTGCATTCCTAGATTTGCTGACAAAGGGGAGAATTTTTCTAATATTATTTTATTTTCTGGCTGGTGGTTCAGATATTATATCATTCTGGATATTGGACATCCAGATTTTAAACTTTGGACTGCATTAAGCATCACATATAATCATAAAAGCTTGCTTTTCTTCAAAGTATAGAAGCTCACAAAAACAATTTAAATGCATACACACCTAAAAGTCTTAAATCTTAACTGAAGAGAGGTTCTAATATTCCAGGCTTTGCTTATCAATACAAGTTAAATTACATCTCATAATTTTCATTCTATTCATTTAGTAAATACATTCTAATTTAATTTGGTTTTATCTCCTTAGATTTGATTAAGATGGATAAGTTTTAACTAAACAAATTCTCATCTCTAAAATATCACCAGAAGGTTTGGCTATTAACAAACAGCATACTCAAAAGTTTTTCCCTGAGTTACCTACAGCACAGCTGCCGCCAACCTGAAATATGAGAAACCATTAGTTCTGGGAGGTTTTTGCATTGAAGCTATTCAAATATTTATATGTTTCCGATGTAAAATATATTAATCACAGAGAAATCTTGAGTAAAGAAGAAATCTTGAGTAAAGAAGAAAAGCTTTAATTTAATCAAAGCATTTTTAAACATGATGAAAGTAATAATTAATGTATATGCTATTACACAAATAAACTTAGTAATGTACCACTTATTGATTTAAATAAAATTAAATACAAATATTAACTGATTAATCATTTCTTGATCTTCATAAAAGATCCTACAGAAGATCGAGAAAATTCAGATCAAACAGAATTTAAAAAGAAAAATTATGCTGAAAATAACTGGGACGCGGAAATGCAATTTGCCTGTTCCCCCCCCCATTAATTCATTAAATTTCATATATCGCCAGGAAACATTTTTTTCAGCAAAGGCTAAAAATTAAAAACCAAGAGATTCAGTGACCTACCAGGAGAGTGTGAGATGAGATGAAAAAGCACGAGTCTCCCAGCAGGAGCTAATTTTAACTGATAACATAGTCTCTGAATGTACAAAATCAGCTTTCCCAAACAAATTTGTAGATCAAAGTAGGCAGACTTACCCTCTACTTGTCATAAGATATTCAATAATTTACATTTCTAATGAAGTAGACCATTATCTGAAACACAGGGTTGCCATTCAAACAGGAGAATGAAATTCCCTGACTTTTCCAGGTGTGTTTCAAGAAAATTCCAGTCTATCCGCGTAATGTACGTTGGCTGTGCTAAGAGGTAAATTAATTATGGTATTACTTCTATTGTGTAGCAAATTCACTTAATTATTCAATACATCCCAGAGGACATTTATTCTTAATTATTCTTGGTATACTTTGTTTGATAATTTTGTTTACTTTTCCACTTAAGAAACTTAATAAAATTTAAGATATATACATTGGATAACAAATGCATGTTTTATTTAATTATAACTCATGATCATCACCAGTTCAACACGAGGCTAATTGGTCCTTATAAATCACAACGCAATGCTAAATAGGTTAGATTTTAAGCAAATTTAATTTGTGTGAGGTATGTTCTTAAAAGGCTCCTTAGCACTTGAAAACACAAATATAATTATAATAGTTGTTGTTTTCTCCACTGAAGATTGAGATTAGAATCTTCCCAATCTGGAATAAAATAAGGCTTTTTTTGCAGACATTCTGCAGCTAAACGAAAGAAAGAAATCTATTTTAATAAATTGATGTATTTTATATTATTTCGCAGCATACATAAGGAAAAAATATGTGCATTAAATTTCGTGATGGTATGTCATCATACTGCTAGAATTAATTTCAGAATTATGCCAGAGAAAATTTCCTGAAATTTGGAAATATTATTTACTAATAATAAATAAATTTAGAGGGAAGAAGCAACATTAAATTATACGAATAACATAAAAAAAGATAATTACTTAAAAATTGTATTAGAATAATAACGATATTTTAGCGAATATAGTTATATTACATGGTTAGCCTAGATGACTGATTACTTTTTTTTTTACTGCAAAATGGCAAGGTATTTATTAAAAGAAAAAAAAAAAAAAAAAAAAAAAGGTTTAAAAAGATTTTGCAGTAAAATTCTAGTATACGGTTTGGCACGATTTTGAAAATTGTCGCGAAGACCAAAATGACCCGCTTACTGCGCATCAAGATGTCGCCAAATCCCATTGTACCATACATGGAGATTATTCTAACCAAAGAACGCCTATGTAAAGAAGAAAAGGTTCCATACAAGTAAAATGCTATTACGCCGCTAGAATGCGGAGGGAAAATTTGCCAAGGGATTTGGCGACGGAACTGGCGGCCAGAATTTCCTTCTCCGCGATGTGTACAGGAAATTGAGAAACACGTGTTAAGAAGAAACGTTCTTTGACAAAAAAGAAAACTACGAAAATCCGTTTTTAAATTATTGTGAAAAATCCAAGAAGAAGCGTTTTATCAAAGGACGTTTCTTCTTGGATTTTTCGCAATAATTTTAAAAACGGATTTCCGTATTTTTTTTTTATTTTTTTTTTTTCCTGAAAATAACTAATCCGAATTACTTTACTTGCGCCAAAAAATATTTTCTTTTCCTTTAGAGTTTAACCACTTGCGCTAAGACTAAACTTCACGGTTGCGGTGCCGTGCGCTACAATATAACAAGAGGTAAAGTATCTCATTTACGCCGCTCCGCATCTGCGAGTGCAATCCAGAGCTGTAACTCGAGAAATAAACAATCTCGTTGTTAGGCGACATGTGCACCACGTTATTTTCATTTTTGCGATAAATGCTTATCGACATAGTGTTCACGTCCTTCGTGGTTTGAGACAAAAGCATCTCGATGTGTGTGGCACGTTTTTTTAGCACAAGTGATTAAAGAAATTTTAAACGATATTCATTTTATGAACTCTTGATAACGTGAACTTCGACACCGATTTCGAGCTTTGGCGACAGATATATCACGCATGCACAGCTGTTTCCCTCTATGATGGAACGGAGCCACGTCTGTTGCAGAGAGGTTTTCCTTCTTTACAATACATATTCCTTGATTCTAACCTCCATGGTACCGTATACTAGGATTAAACTCATTTTGTTTTATACGAGAACAAGTACTTTTAGTTCATGCATGTGATTCCCGAGAATACTGGAAACCAAAGGTTGCGGGAAACTTGCTTTGCCTTTCTAAAAGACAATTAAATTGGAGCTGTGAAAATTGGCTCTATGCCAGCTGCCCGAATGACACTCACGTGATACACAATTCGCAAAAAAAAGTTATCTCTTTCGACTTCGGCGCAAAAGGCGGGATCGTTGTATGAAATTCCCTGACATTTCCAGATTTTGACAAAAATACTTAAATTTCCTGACTTTTCCCTGAATTTTTTGGTCAATTTTCGAATTCCCCGACTTTTTCCAGTTCTCTCGGTTTTCCAGGTAGCGTGGCAACCCTGGAAACATTAAGCCATTTGAGATTTCGCAGGTTTTTTTTTTTTTTTAAATTAAAGGTTGGGATAAAACCAGGCAAATAAAAAATGGTTCTTTTCTCTCTGAATGCAAAAAGTTTCAAGAGTCTAAAAACAGCTGGTTAAAAATACTCAGCTTGATAAGCAGTCATATATTACAATGCATACAGATAAGCACACACATAAAGCATATAGAGATAAATAATTTTATGCAAAGTATAACTAAATCTCGCACATAATGACAATTTTCTAAAAATACTTACAACTGGAAACTGCTTATAGAGAGGTAACCAACAACTCAATGCTACTACACCAGCCAAAGGTTTCGTGCAACGAAGAGCTGAATATAAAGCAAGAGCTCCACCCTGAGAAAATCCACCAAGTGCAATTCTATGTGAAGGAATTCCCTTCTCTTCTTCATTTGCTATCATCTGAAATACTGCATTACAAAAAATAACCATAAATACAAAATGAAGAAGTTGGCATAATGTTTTTCTTTATTTTAGATGTTTATTAATCAATGCTTAAAACAATTTTAATTTAAAACACAAATATAGTTATTAAAAGTTTAAAAGTGCTCACATTTCACTTTCAAATTAATTCCTAAATTATTCTGTTTGTTTTTCAAGTGTATTTCAATACATCAAACAACGCACTGAATTTTCTACCATGTATAAAATACATGTCTAAAAAGAACTAAAGAAACTATTAATCAATCGATACACTACAGCATGAAAATTAATTGAGACAAAGTGATTTTTTCATAGATTTTTATGCTGGTTTGTATTTAAACATTTTGAATTCCACCGTAACATATAAAATATCAAATATGAAAATTAAGAAACATATTTATTAGGACGTTAAATGATGGAAATGCTTTAAATTATTCAATACAATCATAAATGTAATAATTTTGATCATAACTTCAACTATAACAGTATAATGGCTAGTTACAATAAAAAATACTTAAGTATTCATTAAACATTTGGCCTCAAATAATACGTCTGATATGCCATGAAGAGATATTAATGTCAAAGTATATATGAGTATTTCTCAAATCTTTTGGATTTATTGTCCATTCTTACTGAGTGCACAATGCCCCATTGCACATCTAAATCTGTATTTAAAAAATGTGTTACTTTTATTTATTAAATATCATGTTCTTTGCACTTAAACAATAAAATCCAAATTTTCCACAGGAAAATTTTGAAAAAAATTCAAATTGCTTTAAAAACTACTGTTAGAAACTTGAGAGGAATTTTATATACAAAATAAGCACAGTTTAATAAATGGCTAACAGAACAAGAAGTTACAGATTGAATAACTGTTTGTCAAATGTAGAAGTGTGTAAAAAAGGATACAGAGGAGTATTTCATCAAAAAAGGAGAGAAATTAGAAATTCAAAAGATTTAGCACAAAAAACTGGATACCTACAAAAGCATTCAGAATGTGAGGTGGAAAGAAAATTGTTAATAATAATAATAAACCACTACAAAGCAAGGAGCTTTCCTCAATCACAGGAAACTCAGATCATAAAATCCCTGCCTTACCACATGCACGAAGAAATACGTATGAAGCCTACTTCCAGTGCAGAGAGACATTTTGGCCTTTGTCGTCCACAAGGGACAGAAAGATTTAGGATTATTCGTATTACAGAAAAGCATACAAAGGCTATTTGTCTACGAGCTCGGATGCTTTCCTGGAGAACTTTTTAAGGGAAACTCGCTTGTATTTACATAACATGCAAGAAAACCCATGTAAACTCTTACGCAGCAGTTCATTCACTGAGAAATGAACACAGGTCATGTTGCAACTCAACTCTTGCTGAGATCCGATGGCTGAGTGACGTCATCTCGAACTATGAACTCTCGCTAGAGATCCAGAGAACCTGGAGATGAGAAGTCGCACGCTGCGTCATGCGAACATTTAAACCTTTTCATAATGTAAATATTCCGTAACCCATTTGCGTCTTCATTAAATATGTTTGTGTAAAGAAAGTATTAATCATTTATGGATTATCGCTCTCAAGATTTGCAGATGGAGTTGCACAGAGGACAACAACCAATGGCCCTGGCAGAACCCATTTGAACAAGGTAAGCAGTTTTGTTTTACCTTGATTAATTAGTTAGAAGTAACGATAACGATAGGATATAAATAATAATATTGTGGCACCCAACATGGGGCCATTGGGTTGAATTTGAACTGAACTGATTAATCGATTTTGCTTAAGCAAAAAACATGGATTTAGAAAAATTAAAAAAGAAACGATCTGCTATAAGAGCAGTTACGAGGCTGATAAATAAGATAGAAACAGAAATTGCTAATGAGGGGGATAAAAATGTAATTGAAGAAACGGTTGCTCAGTTAATTAGTAAAGAACTAATCTTAGCAGATAATGGTATTAAAGCTTTAATTGATGTAACAAATTTAGAAGATGAAATAATGTCTAGAGAAGAGTGTAAAATTATTATTTGGAAATTACGCGCGAAAATATACTTAGATACTAATCCACATAGTGCTAATTCTACTTCATATGGAACTGTCACTGAATCACAAAACAAAATTAAACTCCCCAAATTGGCCCTGGAAACATTTTCGGGAAAGGATGTGTGCAGTTGGCCCGGGTTTTGGGCACGATTTGAGACAGCTGTACACGAAAACGAAAGTCTACATGCGTAGATAAATTTAACTATTTAAAGTCAATTCTACTTCCGATGCAGAAACTGCAATACAAGGGTTGACGTTAACAGCGGAGAATTACGAAAAGGCTGTGAAAATATTAAAAGATCGCTTCGGACGCAAAGAGCTAATAATAAATACCCACATGAACAATTTATTAACTCTGACTCCGGTTAAAAGGTCTTGCGATGTGACAGCACTTCGAAAATTATATGATCGTTGTGAAGTACAAATTAGAGGATTAGAATCGTGTAATATTTTACCAGATTCGTACAGTACCTTATTGTATCCGATATTAATAAAGGTGATTCCGAATGATTTAGCACTAGAATTTAATAGGAAATATGAAGATGATAATCAGACAAAAATTACGAATTTGCTCAATTTTCTAAGAAAAGAAATAGAAAGTCGAGAACGTACAGGATTTTAATTAAGCCAACAGATTCTGAAGTCACTGAAAAGGAAATCCCATTTTGAAAATAAGCGGCAGTTTCGAGAACGTTTTCGAGACAGCGAAAGAAATCGGGATTATAATAAGGGTAGAATTCCTTCAGCGGCAGCGTTAAACACATCACTATCTAATAGCTGTTTATTCTGTTCTGAAAATCATACGTCAGAATCATGTCAAAAAACTGTGCCAGAGAAAAAGGAAGCGTTATGGCGAAGTTGAATTTGTTACGTGTGTCTCAAAAGATACCATTTAGCGAGGATGTGCAAATCGAAACTAACTTGTGGTGTATTTGCGATCGGCGACATCATACATTGATACACTCTGACGAAACGAATGCGTCAGACAAGAGTCCCGTCCAAAGGGGCAGTAGTCTCCTTCTGTTTCCGATTGCGCAACAGCAAATAACTCATTTCTTCTGACAGCACGAGCTGAAATTATAAACACAGGCAATTGGCGCCAGCAAAGCGTTCGCTTGTTGTTTGATTTAGGATCGCAGCGAACATTTATTAGAGAGGACATCTGTAAGAAATTAAAACTTCCCGTTATTGGAGAAGAAAAAATAAAAATATTCTCTTTCGGCTGCACGACGTCTGAAGCGCAGAATGTTAAAAAAACCAGGCTCATTTTGCGTAATTCGAAGAATCGATATGAAATCAAAATAGAAGCTTTAATTATTCCTGTCATTAATGGATCACATATTCATTCCCCTAGAAATGAAATAGTTAATCTTATTAAAAAACAGGGCATACAACTTTCCGATGAATGGGGACAAGGGAATAAACCGCCGAAAATTTCTTTACTGATAGGAGCGGATTTTTATTGGAAAATAGTTACGGGTAAGGTTCACAGACTGTCTAATTCCTTAGTAGCGGTTGAAACAAAATTGGGTTGGACCATTAGTGGAACAGAAAGGGCTTACGGAATTTCCTCAACTAATGTGAATACGATGAAGGTTGTGGTTCATAATAATAAAGATACACAGAACGAATCACTGTCTAGTTTGCTGAAGAATCTCTGGGAGCTCGATTCTATGGGGATAAATTATGATTCGGATAAGGAACTCGAATTAGAAGATAATTTAGTTTTCGATAATTTCAAAAGATCTGTGAAATTTGAAAACAATCGTTATATTGTGCGCCTTCCTTGGAATCATAATTCAAATGAGCTAGGAGATAATCTGGAGATTGCTAAAATTAGATTTAAGAGTTTAAGTCGTAGATTTCAGAATAATCAACAGTTCTATGACAGATATCGCGAAGTAATTGATAAGTACTTAAAAGAAGGAATCGCCGAAGAGACTAACATTGAAATTGGACCAAAAACGTATTTTATGCCGCATCAAGCCGTTATAAGAGAAAACAAGGAAACTACAAAACTCCGTGTGGTTTTTGACGCTTCGTCACATGCGGAGAATTGTTTGTCATTAAATGACTGTTTACATTCAGGTCCCAAGATGTGTCCAGACATACTGGAATTGCTCCTTAAGTTCCGTCAAAATCGAATTGCGTTTACAGCTGACATCGAACAAGCATTCTTGCAGATTTCTCTTGCTGATGAAGACAGAAACGCAGTCAAGTTTCTATGGAACGATGGTGAATTAAATGGAACCAAAATAAAGGCTATGACAAGGGTAATTTTTGGAGCAACATCTAGTCCGTTTCTTCTCAGAGCAACTCTTAATGTACATGCTGACAAATACAAGTTACAGTATCCGAACGTATTTTCCATGCTAACTGAAAATATGTATGTTGACGACTTAATCGCTGGAGCAGATGAAGAATCAGAAGCATTCGAGGAATCGGAACATATTAAACGCATACTGAAAGAAGGTGGATTTAACATGCGGAAGTGGAAAACGAATTTACAAAGGGTATGGAATGAAGAAGATTTTTCACACGATTCGACTTGTTCTAAAGTATTGGGATACATATGGAATAGGTCAAATGATACATTTTTGATAGAAATTGAAGAGTTTGGTAAAAGATGCCAAAAGGATAGATAACATACCAACTAAAAGGGAAATCTTGAGATTTGTAGGACGTTTCTTTGATCCACTGGGGTTTTTAAATCCATACACACCATTCGAGCTAGGATTTTATTACAAGATTTATGGGAACAAAAGATAGCATGGGACACTGAAATACCAGAAAATCTCAGAAAGAATTGGCAAAGCTGGTGTGATGAATTAGCTCATATTTCTAGTTTGGAAATACCAAGACATCAGTTTGCAGGTGCTGGGGAAAAGGGATATAAAGGATGGTTTACAGTTACACTGTTTCACAGATGCGAGTCAGAAGGCCTATGGGGCTGTTCTGTATTTTCGTTATTCGAAAAATGGAGTCATTCATACAAGTTTCATTACATCAAAATCACGAGTAGTAGCACCTTTGAAAAAATTATCACTTCCCAGATTGGAATTGATGGGTGCTTTGATAGGCTCGCGCTTGTCAAAATACATCCAAAAGAAACTTCGGGACATTGATTTAATTGTATATATGTGGACCGATTCTAGTATAACGTTACATTGGATTAGAAGTGATGTGAAAAGGTGGAAGCCATTCGTTCAGAACAGAGTGAAGGAAATACAGAAGAATTCAGATGTCTTGAACTGGAGATATACGCCTGGTGAACATAATCCAGCTGATTTACTAACTAGAGGTGAAAATGTCAAACATCTGAAGCAGAATAGCATATGGTGGGAAGGCCCACGTGGTTGAAAGAAGGAAGAAATGGAACACTGGCCAAAACCGAATTTATGTTCCACAAAGAACATTGAAGATTCCAACAAGGAACTAAGAAAAACATCAAAGGAAGTTTTCGTAAATGCATGCGTTACCGAACCTTCCGAAGATTTATTTAAAACCCCCAAAATTACAGCAATTTACATCGAATTTACCGAATTACTGCGTGGTGCTTAAGGTTCATCAACAATGTTAAAAATACCTCGAATTATCAGGATGTTTGCAGGTTACCGAATTGGAAATGGACAGAAACTTATTGGATCAAACGTGTTCAGGAGCGAAATTTTCACAAATGAAATACGGGCATTGAAGAAAAACGAGGAATTAGGTTCAAAATCAAAACTGAAGGTCCCTCAAGTCCATTTGTAGACGAAAGTGGTGTAATTCGTGTTGGTGGACGATTAGAAAATTCAAATTTGGATTACAAACAAGCACATCCAATCGTGTTGCCCGACGATAAAGATCATTTGACTGATCTAATTATTCTTCACAGTCATCAGGTGGTAGGGCACGGAGGAACTAGCAGATACTTTAAATCAGATAAGAGATAAATTTTGGTTGCTGAAGGCTCGTAGGAAAATTAAAAGTGTTCTGTACAATTGCAATGTCTGCAAAATATTTCGAACTAAACCTGTCATGCAAGATATGGCACCTCTCCCACCAGACAGACGCCGAGAAGCCTTTCCGTTTGAGAACTCCGGAATAGATTACGCAGGTCTACTGTACGTCAAAAGTGGAAAAGAATTATCTAAGACATACGTTTTACTATTTACCTGTGCTGTAACTACAGCCGTGCATTTAGAACTTACAACTGACCTTTCCACAGAAAATTTTTTGCTTGCATTTAGACGGTTCATAGCGAGAAGAGGTTTATGGTTCACTCTCTGAAAGCTCTACTGAAGATAATTCTAGGCAAATCATCCTTGACATTTAGGGAATTAGAGACATTCATAACAGAAGTGGAAGCTATATTGAACTCCAGACCATTAACATTTACATACTCGGATCTAGGAAAGCCAGAATCTTTGACCCCTGGTCACTTCTTAATAGGAAGACGATTACTATCATTGCCACAAGGAAGCTCTAAATTAACTTCAACAAAGGAGAGTCTTACACGTCGATTTAGACATCAACAGATACTGGTAGAAAGAATCTGGCGAAAATGGAGGCAGGATTATTTGATGAATTTAAAATCTGCTCATCATTTCAAACTGGCGAAAACAGGAACCTGTTTGAAGAAAGGAACTATTGTATTAGTGCATGAAGATAAAATTCCACGGCTGATGTGGAAGATGGTCATCATAATGGAAGTCTTTCCTGGAAGAGATGGCAAGGTGAGAGTCTGTGAAAGACCAGTGCAACTACTATATCCAGTGGAGCTGGAATGTAATAAGGACAATTACAGCAATTGTCCTTCCGGGCAAGAGGATGTTGCAACTCAACTCTTGCTGAGATCCGATGGCTGAGTGACGTCATCTCGAACTATGAACTCTCGCTAGAGTTCACGAGAACTCGGAACTGAGAAGTTGCACGCTGCGTCGTGCGAACATTTAAACATTTTCATTATGTAAATATTCTGTAACCCATTAAATATGTTTGTGTAAAGAAAGTATTAATAATTTATGAATTATCCCTCAAGATTTGTAGATGTAGTTGCAAGTTGCACAGAGGACAACAACCAATGGCCCTGGCAGAACCCATTGGAACAAGGTAAGCAGTTTTGTTTTACCTTGATTAATTAGTTAGAAGTAACGATAATGATAGGATATAAACAATAATAGGTCAAATTACCAGTTTTCAGGAATTTTATCATTATTTATTAAACTGGTGGGTTAGGGGAAAGGAAGAGTATATGGCCTCAGTCAAGTTATTCAGTAAACCTTCAAAGCCTAGTCTCCAAAAGCAATTTAGAAGAAGTATTTATAAACATCTGCCAAACACAGAACACAATGAAAATGTAAACGAGATAATAGCGAATCGTGTAATCATATAAAGAAGATATACCATAGAATTTTGCATATTTGCATAAAATAAGTGAAAATAAATAACAGTACAGTTGTAACTGCACTACTTGACACTAAAAGTTGCCTGTTAAAAGTATTGATTGAAACTAAACTAAATTTCAGAATATCACAAAAGAAAATGAATTATTTAGACTTAAATAAACTAAAACCAGAACAACAACCACAGAAAGAACAATCTCAAACACAGAAATAAAGTGTTATAGGTAAAGGTATTATATTTGTCAAAATAAACTATTGTACACTATCAAATAGCTGATGCATGATAAGGTAAATCAAATTAATCTACCACACATTATACAAAGGTTGTTCAAGGTTGACCAGGACTTTTATTTCTTCAGAGAAAACAGACAGCACAAGAAGCACCAAACTATGTCAGCTTTTCAAAGTATTCTCCGTGTGCGTCGAGGCATGGTTGCCATTGTTGTGGCAGCTCCCTGATTCCTTTGGCGTAGAAAGAACTTGGTTGTTGTCGTAGCCACTGGAGGACATCGTTCCACAGTGCTTCATCTGTGGCCAATTTCTTCCCTCCCAGATGGGCTTTAAGGGGTGCAAACAAATGATAATCACTGGGAGCTAAATCTGGACTGTAGGGGGGGGATGGAGCAGAACTTCCCAGAACATTCCGGCCAGAGTTGTTGTCACATTAGACATGTGAGGGTGGGCATTGTGTCATGAAGAAGAATGAAATTTCCAGAAAACATCCCTGGTATTTTCTTGCGAATGGATTTTCGTCAGCACCACACAACAATGTGAAGTAATACTGGGCATTAACTGTGCTCCCTTCGTCCAGAAGATGCACATGGATAACACCCTTCATGTCTTAGAAGACACTTGCTATGATCTTTCCAACGGACGACTGCATTTTGCTTTTCTTGCGCAGTGGGGAACCTTTATGGCGCCACTCCATGCTCCTTCTTTAGGTCTCTGGGGTTGAATTATGCAACCATGTTTCATCATGGACTGCAACAATTCATCGCCTTTGGCTCGAAACCGATTCAGAAGCTGTTCGCAGACCACCATATATGACCACTTTGACATTTGCCTTTTTAGAAATGACATTTGCTTTTTTAGCAATCAACAATAATATTGATTAAGAAAATGAATAAAATGATAGCTATGGCAATGAAACAATAAAATCGAACCTTGTCATCAATTACTGTGCCACAACAAGCAGTGTGAATAATCATGAACAGCAATTACATAATATCAAATGAGAAAAATAGGCTAGAAATTTGAAATTTCTCTCATTTACTAATTTTTATTTACAATGCTTTAATTTGTCATACTTCCATAACAGATGAAAATCATTCTGATTCAATAACAACAAACAAGTTGTCTTCCCCCTCCCTTAAAAAAATACAGAGTCATTTTTCAGGATTTACATCATCAGAAGAAATGAAGACTGCAACTGAGTGATTTTTGGTAACTTGCAGTTGAGGAAAACAAGTGACAAAAGAGTTGAGGAAAACAACTGACAAAAGACACCCATTATAACTGTCAGTAAATTAATGCTGGATTGTCCAAGGTACTATGCTTTATTTCATTTTACATTAAAGCTGATTTTTAACACTTTAGCATAATTTTTAAAATCATAATTAAATTATATTAATTTGAAATATTGCTCTCTAAAGTTATAAATCTTACATGTCAAAATAAGCAATAAAAAGTTTCAGTTTTGGATCTTTCTCTCCAAAAAAAAATTGAGCCTATAAGCAGATTTCATATTGGGAAATAATCGGTTTCAGTACTTTTTTTTTTTTAGTCTGCACTGTTTTTTCTTGCGGGACGGGAATGAGCATTAGGAGGTTAAGTAAAACTACAAACATGTTCAAAAGAACATAATACTTCATACCAGCATAAATATGTGAAATTTCCCAGCATTAATTATCTGTCCTAAGGCATGCTAAATTACATGATTACCAGCTTCAGAAGCTCTTTTGATTCCTTCTTCATCTTCAGGACCATCTGCATCTAGACTCCTTAAATCAAACCAGGATGGCATTCTATACCCATTATTTAAAGTAACTGGCATTGTTGGTCTACAAGAAAAAATAAATAGATATTAAATCTGAGATTAAAATCAATTAAACGACAACTAAGAAGTAAAAATGCAACATATAAGCAGATTTGATTATATTCATTATCTTTCACTCTTTTTATTATTTTAATAAGCATTCAAGTAATATATTAAAAAATACCGATATAATCACAAAATAAATTTAAAATAATTACAGAATAAGATTTATTAACATATAGCAATGTTAAGAAACTCAAGATTTCACCCCCCCCATTACGTAGACAAGCTTTAAATCCTATGTTGCTGCTGCTTCTAACATAATTAATTATACTAATGTGTATATCTAAAAGATATTTATTAAAAAAATATAAATGTAATATTCCTAATGTGTGGAGATTAAGTCTCTTTTCAATCCCAGTCCAGAAAATCACACATCAAGTTTGATAAATATTATAAGCCATTGCAAAGGGTACATTAAGAATGTTCTTCTGATCGGTTTAATTTATGTGATTACGACCTCTATTTGTCTAAGAGGAGGGATGCCTTTGTGGAGGACTTTCTGAGGGTAACTGGCTCGTATAAATGTTACACATGGGAAAAACCCATGAAAAACCCCATGCAGCCAGCCTGTTCGCAGGATTTGAATCTCAGACTGAACTACCAGTCTTTGGCAACTTTACCACTCGGCTGTTGGTGAACCCATGTTCTTCTGAAATGCTTACCCTTTATTATATGCTTCAGAGGAAAATGCTCACAAATACATGTTTTCAAAAAGAAATCTCATGAACACAGGATATTAATGAAGCAACTGAAATTTTGCTTTATATCAGTACAACTTATTAAAGCTCACTAAATTTGCTTTATGTTGTATATCCAATTATAGCTCTACATATCGATTGCAACTCTATATATTCCAACTGCAGTAAATAAGAATGCAGTTTGATTTTGGCGTACAGTACGAATGGAATAAATCTAAAATAAAATGCAGTTGATATTTTCTGAAATCTTAAAAAATGTTTAGAACTTTTTGTTTTTTTGCCATAAAACAGGAATATACTTTTTGTATTTTACATAAACTGTTCAGACACAGTCTCAGAATGTATAAAATATAACTTTAATATATGAGATTACTACAATATAAAGTTAATTTTGAATGCTTTTATTCTTCGAAGCATTATTCAAAGATTTCATTGCCATAAAGATGCATTTAATCTCTCTCCTTTAATCCTTCAGTCAGCATGTTTATCTGTGAGATATAGTTCGACTGCCTTAGCCACAATCATGAGTGCAAACATGCATGCACCATTTAGACCAATTTATTCTCAAAATAGGTAGATGGAATCATGTCGTAGGGATTTTTTCCACTCTTATTTTTCCCTGTTTATTTCAATGGCATCCAAAGGGCACAGGCATAAGAAGACAAATTTACTTTTCAGTAATATAAGCTGAAAAGCTAGATCTATGTTGGAAACATATTGACTGGTTTCCTTTTTTTTACTACAAAAAGAATATAGTTCCATGACTTTTAATGACATCAACTTTAAAAATAAGCGACGAAATACAGATTGTTCATATAAAATTCATAAATTATCAAAAGAAATTTTCAAAATTCTTTACTTCCGCGGTTTCCTCAATCAACCCTTCAGGGATGGTTATCCGAACATTGTTAGCTCAGGCAAACCTGGTTACCAGCGGAGCAACAAAAAGGCCTATGTTGGATTGGGACAAGAGAGGCTATGTGGTGTGCATCACTGCCCTATAGCTATACCCACTCTCGGAAGGTTCAGATCAACCCTCGGGTTACCTCCCATAAAATGGTGGGTTCTGGAAATATGATTCATCCCAACCTCAAGGGAGCACAACTACTCCCAGAAAAATATGACTATTTTGGTCCCAGTTAAATATATCCTCCGAAATAAATTTCCAAGCTTCATTAATCAATGCCTTCTTCATTTTTTGTTAATTCTATATGGATAAATTACAAATGATAAAGCTGTTCAGTGTATCTTCATCAGCAGAGTCTGGGATTTAGAAGATAAGGGCTGAACTGCAAGTGGATTTAATATTTGAAAACCTAACCAATCAAAATGTCCTCTTAATTATATACTGCTAAAAGGAAAGAAAGTGCACAGGTCCCTCAGATTCTAGTCCCTAAACTACTCACAAATAAGATTGGAACTCGGCAAGTCAGGAATTCACTTCCAAGCTTTGACTTAAGATTTCAAAGTCTATGGCAAATAAAAGATGCAATCCTAGGCCTGTCAGTGACACTATAGACATTCAAGAAATTGGGATAAGCAACATCAACAACATTAATAACACCATTATCTGTGAAAACAAGTAAACTAATTTTTTTATCATATGCTTAGTAACTAAATAAGAAAACAAAGAAAAATCTGACAGAATCTATGAGCCAGGGAAAAATATTTTAAAATATAACTTACGCAGTAGGACAAATATACTTGACATGAGGAATTCTTTGCAACTGTAATGAAGCAGCCCATCCATGCCTAAAATTACATTTTTCTCAATTAAGAAATGTAAACATATCAATTCATATTATGCTAAATTAAAACAAATATACTGATTGAATAGGAAAATTTGTTCATCTCTATATAACAAATGAACATATTGAGATAAGCCTGCAAAGTTTTGAATTTCACTTTTAGGGCAGCATTTCCCAACCTTTTCACATTTATGGCATTCTTGGGACAATGTTCACGTTAAACAATAAATTTCTTCAGTATGACAATTTATAATACTAATGCAAAATATGCGCTGGTTTTTGGAAACATAAATGTTGAATTTGAGGGTCTTACTTTCGACATACATACGCAGATTTCATCCTTCACCAAAAGGAGACTTTCTATCCTTACTCTTAATACTTGTATGAATTATGCTTAAAACTGCAACAATATTAATTGCTTTCCTATGACTGGATACTCACTTTCAATGGAAATCCGGACCTTGTCATTAAATCTTATTTTCAATGAACCATCCGATTGTAAGTCACAAAGTTCTTTTAAAGTTATGTTTTAGAGACGAATGGATTCCTCACCCAGTTGTACAGTTCTATTGAAAAGGACAGAATATAACAATAAATTTTCTTCAAGAGCTCTCTAGACAGGAGATAATAAACTTGAAATACACCATGTTTCAAAAAGAATATACGTATTGCAAAGTGTTATTTTGTCCAAACTATCGATCACTGCGCCTCGGCTTGGCTATAAGCAAAACGAATACATAGTCTAGTTTATATTAATATAGCTGCTAATTCATTGTCTTTCTGCTTTGCATGGTAACCTCACAATTTTCAAAGGCTACTCCTAGCAATTCCAACTAGTCCTTCAAATCACTGTGGCCATATTAGTTACACTGCCACAACACAATTTGTGTGTTTTGGATATCGTTTGTTTGAAGCCTACAGTTACATTTGTTACAGGCTCTGTCCTGATAAATGCAAACGTGTGGCATTTTGTACTAATTACAGATGCTTTGACAATGATAACACTTTTGCGCACGCATCATGTTCATTGATGAAGCGACTTTTCATGCTAGTGGTCATGGTAACAAACGCAATGTTTGAATTTGGGGTCTACAGAACCCACATGCAGGCACTAAATATGTACGAGATTTGCCCAAAATCGACATGTTTTGTGGGATATCCCGATCATCTGTTTACGGTCCATTCTTCTTTGATAGAAACACGGTTAACGGTCAACAGTATCTCGCTATGTTACAAAAGTGGTTGTTTCCGAGGCTGCACGAAGACAGCTTCATTTTTCAACAAGACGGGCACCCCCCCCTCACTGGTGTCACCAAGTGCGTGATTATCTGAATGAATTTCTACCGAACCGTTAGATTGGTCGTCAAGGAGATGCCGAATTAGCATGTCTCAGCTGGCCTCCACGGTCACCGGATTTGACAACCTGTGAATTCTTCCTTTGGGTTTCATTAAAGACAACGTTTATGTGCCACCACTTTCCCAGAACCTGGAGAGGGTGAAGAACCGGATCCGTAGTCATAACATCAGTGACGACGGACATGCTTGCCCGAGTATGGTAGGAATTTCAGTATCGATGTTCGTGTCGCTGATGGAGGACATATATCTGTAACCTGAACTTGAGAGGTTCGTACATAAGTTTCATATTCGTATGTCATACAGTTTAATAAATATATGCTTCGAATACGTTACTCTTTGAAACACCGTTTTTGGTATCCCACTTCCTTTTTACTCCCACCGTAATTCAACATATCAAAATTTCCATTTACCCCTTCTGTTCCATAATTTGAATTTCTTTTAATTCTAAGAATTTTGCCACTCGAAGTTAATATATTTTTCTACCGCCTTGCAGCAACTTATTGAGTTTATTCAAGTGTTGAAAAATATTTGCTAAATAACCTAGCACCTACACCCACATTTGATCCTCAAAGCATTTAGTAAAATCTTACCATTTTATTGAAAATGCGCATGCATTTCTTCCTTTAGATCAAAAACCTTATTAAAAACCCTGTTTTTACTTAACCAACAGATTTGTGTACTTTTTACTCATGTTTTAAAAATTCTAGTTGAAGGGGCTTTTATTTAATGATGTTTACCATTGATACATCATCAAATACCTTTTGTGGTTTATTACCAAAAGATTTTGACATCACCACTTTTCTATGAATAAAACAGTGTGTGGAAACAACACAGGCTTTTTTTTTTCCCCTTTTTTACAAGAGTATCAAAGCCCTTTACGAAGTCAACTATGGACGCAGCAGCCATCCATACAAATTCCAATACAAATCTTTCAAGAAAGATCCTCCCAAATACTCCTAAAGTTATATACAGTCAAAAAAGTCTTTATCCGGACTCGTTGGATTCGGCATTCCGATTTAGATCATAAGTTTAAGTCTGGAAATATGCTGCAAATTATAAAATTAAAAATAGAACCTATTTATGAAAAAGAGGATTCTGCAACTTAACTGAATAGAGAATTTTAGCTTAGCTTATACGTGGGGTTTATACATTGACGCCATGCGTAACTATTACCGCATGCGTCAACGAATTATGCGTTGGTGCATGCACAGAAAGTTTGTAGCTTTAAGGTCCGGATTAACGACTTTTGACTGCACATCTATTTCTCTGCTTTCCTGATGAAATTTTTTACAGCAGAGAAAGTTTTCTTGAATTTCTTTCTCATTAACAAACCTTTTAAATGCTAGAACATAATATTTTGTTAGTTGAAACTGTTGACTTGTCTACCCGAATTGAAAAAATGCTATTTTTCAGTTTCTGACACAAAAGTCAAAAGTCTTTAATCCGGACTCATCGAGACTTCAGTGATTCCGGATTATAGATCATCAGTTTAAATCTGGTAAGATGGCATGCAGAAATTATAAAATTAAAAATATGAAACCGTAATTTATGAAATAAAGAGCAATTATGATCTAAAGGGTATCAAAATTTTAAAAAAAAATCTGAATATTTATTTGTTTACTTTATTAAACATTACTTTCAACGGACGCATGCGTAAAGCATTCATTACGCATAGTCAGAATTAGAAAATTGCAACCAGAAAACTATTTGATGTGTATTCGTGATATTTATAATGAGAGGAAATTGATTTAAATTATATCGGAGTACATCAAGATGAAACACTACATTTAGTGAGGAATTATAAGCTGAATAAAATAAAAAATCTGCCCTGAAGATGAGGATAGTGCTGACAGATCAACTTCCAGTACATTGCGCGTCGCGACGTCCCCCTCCCTTCCGCAGAGCAGCGTGAAATTGATAAACATATTTCGGAATGGTTAGAGAAACAATTCACCTCTCTGTCACTTTCCTCATGACTTTATCCTTTTTTTGCAGCAGGTCCACTTTTTGTTTAATGGGCATCGAACATGTTTTCGCTTTGCAGAGCCTTTGGCAGCTTCAGCATCAAAAATTCTATTTGACATAATCCAAAGTTCAAGCTTACTTTTATAAAATTGCTCTAACAGTCTGCAAAAAATAATAAGATGGATCCAATTCGAAGTTTAACGCAATCTGCAACATTAATTGAAATAGATAATTAGATAATTTTAGCTTATTATAATATATGCATTCGAAATACGTATACTCTTTTTGAAACACACTGTATTTTGGTATCCAACTTCACTTTTTACTCCCAGCAGTAATTCAAACATATCAAAATTTCCATTTACAACATGTTCTTTCCATAATTTGAATTTCTTTTAATTCTAAGAATTTTGCCACTTGAAGTTAATATATTTTTCTACCGCCTTGCAGCAACTTATTGAGTTTATTCAAGTGTTGAAAAATATTTGCTAATTAACCTAGCACCTACACCCACATTTGATCCCAAAGCTTTAGTAAAATCTTACCATTTTATTGAAAATGCGCATGCATTTCTTTCCTTTATATCAAAACCTTATTAAAAACCCTGTTTTTACTTAACCAACAGATTTGTGTACTTTTTACTCATGTTTTAAAATTCTAGTTGAAGGGGCTTTTATTTAATGATGTTTACATTGATACATCATCAAATACCTTTTGTGGTTTATTACCAAAAGATTTTGACATCACCACTTTTCTATGAATAAAACAGTGTGTGGAAACAACACAGGCTTTTTTACATTAAATGCGTCCGTCATACATTAAATGCTCATGCATAAACACCTATGCGCAAGCGTGAACGCTTTATGCGTTGATGCTTGCGCAGAAAGTTTGTAGCTTCGAGGTCCGGATTTTAGATCATTCCGGATTAACGACTTTTTACTGTATCTTGAACATCTTGTAACATAGCACTGATTCATCAACTTAGTATACTGTTCAAAAGTGGAATAGTTTCAATTTTTCTTACTTGCATCTTCTCCCAACATTTTACCCACTATACTTTTACACACTGACATTGTCACATTCTCACGGACTGTGTGACTTTTTCTGTGCAATAAACTCTTCTACCAAATAATTTGCTTCCTAAACTTTTTCACTAATGTGTATGTGTTTAGCTGCACCCTGTTCATTTTTAGATTTTAAACAGAGTTTTAAAGTAATTAACAGTATGTTTTTCAGATTAGTAAGATTTGTCACGAAATGTCTATTCAATTTTATTGCAGCCATTGCTGTATTTGAAATTTACTTATTAATGCATATACAGAGTCACACATATGAGACACAATGGAAGAGGACATTCTGGATCACCAGTCCACTGATAAATAACATTCATTGTAATGACGAAATTTCTTGGCACCTCTTTCTTTATCAATCTTTTGAAATTTTGTATGGGATTCTAAATCTTCATGACTAGTCTCCAGAATTATCTGGATTATTTGTCTTCAAGTACAACCACATTTTAACCACTAAAATCCGCAGAAGAATTAAAAAACAAGAAACAAAGCCAAATAAAATTGTAATAAATTAGTAGTAAAAATAGTAGAAAAATAAAACAAATAAGAGTAAAATAAAATTAAATAATAGTAAAATAAACTAAATAATAACAAAATAAAAAACATGCACTAG